TTACATGGAGAGGCAGAGCTAAAGCAATGGACTTAATAAGAGTATCCTTCGCCGCCCAAGATAAAGTCCGCCGCTTCCATCCTTGTAATTTATCGAGCAATTTATCCTCCAGATACCGAAAAGTCGCCATTTTCGATTGGGCAATTAGTGTCGGAAGCCCCAGGTATTTATCATGGACCCCCACCGCCCCTACTCCCATCACTGACGCCAAGAACACTTGGTCCTCTTGGTCGACATTCTTGCTAAAGAAAACAGCCGATTTTTCCAAGTTCACCCGCTGACCGCTCAGTTCCTCATATTCGTTTAACACATCTATCAGGTTTGCACATTCCTGTAGATCACCCCGCAGGAATAGATATGAATCATCAGCAAAGAATAGATGAGATATACGAGGAGCACGGGGGGCAACCTTCACACCTTGTAATTTCCCCTCCATTATGGCTTTGCGAAGAAGAGCCGCGAAGCCTTCCGTGCAAAGGACAAATAGAAGCGGTGATAGAGGGTCCCCCTGGCGAAGGCCTCGGGAGGGCGAGAAGTACCCCGCGGGAGTGCCATTCATGAGTACTGAAAAGGACGTAGATCGAAGGCATTCCTTGATCCATCCTTTCCAGACTGTGTTGAAACCCATTCTTTCCAAAACGGCCAGGAGAAACTGCCATTCGACTCTATCATAGGCCTTTTCCATGTCAACCTTCAGAGCCATGTACCCTTTCTTCCCACGGGTTTTGATTTTCAAATAGTGCATCAACTCGTGCCCAATAAGGATATTCTCGACAATTTGCCTTTCACGAATGAAAGCATTTTGACCTTCGGAGACAATTGAAGGCAACACTGTCGCCAATCTAGCCGCCATGATTTTAGTAATAATCTTGTAAACAAATTGGCATAAGCTGATTGGACGCAATTGTCTCATGGTTTCCACATTTTCTACTTTAGGGATTAGGGTAAGCCACGTATGATTAAAGCTCTTGAGCATCCTACTCGTAGAAAAGAAGGAACAAACCGCTTGAATCACCGATTCCCCCACAATATCCCAGTAGGCCTTAAAAAACTTGCCAGTGAAACCGTCAGAGCCAGGGGCCTGCTTGGATCCCATGGAAAAAACTGTTTTCCTAACCTCTTGGGGCAAGACCTCTGCTGTCAGCATCTCATTCATCTCCCGCGTCACATTTTGGGCAATGGGAAGACTCTCCACCCTACTTGCCATATTCAGAATTTGGTTCTCCGAGGTGAACAAATTCTGGTAGAACTGATTTGCAATATCAGCCTTACCCTTCTCCTCCGTGATCCACTCTCCCTCATCATTCCGAAGCCCAGCCACAAAGTTCCTTTTCCGCCTAGTTTTAGTGACCGTATGGAAATATGAGGAGTTTTTATCACCTCTCTTAAGCCAGTGAACACGGGACTTCTGCTGCCAATAAACCTCCTCTGCTGCCCATTGTCGGTTCAGCTCTGACTCTAGGGTTTGCACTTCCTCCCAATTAATGGGATGAAGAGATTTTACATGCTCAATTTCCGATTGCAGGGTTCTAATATTCCGAAGCGAGTTGGTCGTGCCTGCCCTACTCCAGTCATATAGGAGATGCCGGAGCTGCTTTAATTTTTCCCAAAGCTGAAACATTGGGGTTCCCGACCCAGAGTTTCGCCACACATATCTGACCATTGCCCTAACCTCAGGATTGTCTGCCCATCGGGCATCAAATCTGAAAAGAGGGCGAGTACTCCAAACATACGGCCTATCTGCAATGAGTATGGCCCTGTGATCCGAGCCAAGATCAGTACAATGCTTCACAATGGTATCGGGGAAATGCTCCACCCAGCTTTGAGAGCATAGGGCTCTATCAAGACGCTCCCGGATGCACGCAGATCCCATCCGTTTATTTTTCCAAGTGAAAGCATCACCTTGGAAACCAGGATCATGGAGACCAATGTCATTAATAAAATCCCGGAGGCTAATCGACTGGGCCGCATTCCAAGCATTACCCCCCTCTTTTTCACGTGCATGGAGGGTGGCATTAAAGTCACCCATGATCACAAAAGGAATTTGAACATTTTCGCACACCACACGGAGTTGAGCCAATTGGGAATCCCTCGTAGCAAGATTACAACTTACATAAACGCAAAAAACAATATAGGAGAAATTACTTTCATTAATCCTTATCCCAATACAAAAATCAGAATGATAGAACACCGAAGCGCTAACATCCTGGGACCACGCAACAACAAGACCACCAGATGCTTCAATCGCATCCACAAAAAAACTCTGAGAAGACTCAAAACCAAGGTTCCGTAAACGGCGAGAAACTACTCTCCGGCGAGCTCTTGTCTCAGAAAAGAAGACAAGGTCCGGTTTATTTGACCTAACTAGACCCAAAGCCGTTTGGAATGTGAGAGAAGGGCCTATTCCTCTCACATTCCACGCCAATAGTCTCATTTATCTTCCTGGGACCATTTCGGGCTGGTTTCCTCCACCATAGCAGCAACATCTTTTTCTTCCACAAATTGTTTTTTTGGCGTAGGGGGTTCACATGCGCCCTCCTCCACCGCATCAAATCTTCTCTTCTTTTCCCCGCCGTGTAGCACCTCATAATTGGACCCATATTCATTCAAACCGTCAATGCCACCATTGGGAGCCGAAGACTTGCCCGCCGACAGCTCATGCACCACACCCTCCGGGGCAATGATTTGGATTGGCTTAAGACTCAACCCAGCCTCAAAAGCGCGCACAACTTGCAGCACATGTCCCTTGCCATTCAGGTCTCCGGCTGGCTTTCTGCTCCTTATTTCAAATTCTTGTTTCTCATTCTCGGGACTGGATTCTGTCGAGGCGCCCAAATGGGGGTCATCTCCCCTCTGATTGGCATCCGCTCGCACCAGGGAAGGGTCCACAGCCGCCACCTCTTTCACCAGGATATCTACCCATGGCCCCGTCTCAACAAACGGAGAGGCCAATCCCTGCTTCTCCTCAGCAAAACCCGCCGCTTTCCTCAGCCTGCTTTTGTACTTGCTGGCCGCTCCGCCTTTCCGCTGCACCACGCACCGATCTTCTTTAGTTTTGCAGTGGGAGCCCACAAGGGGAACTTGGACACCCACCTCAGCCGTCACATCCAATTCGCCTTCCTGTCCCGCCAGAGTCTCCTCTCCCAGCCGGCCCCTATCCACCAGCGAGGCAAAAAGCGGCTCGCCATCGTCCTCCGACTCGTCTTCCAGCAGCAGCCGGCGTCGCCGAGTAACAGTAGGTCGCTGGCCCAGCTCTTCCTCCCGCTCAAGACACAGCTTCGACTTGGGTCCCGGTGTATCTTTCTTGCGGGCCTGGATACCCTCACCATTCTCCCGGGCCCGTTGCCCTTTCTTACCGCCGCCCATCCCATCTTCTTGACCGGGCTTTGTAAGCCCACGATTGGCTTTGCGGTCTTCCTTTGGGCCGAGTTCATCATTCCTCTTTTCACTGGGCCCAATTTTTCTTTTCCTTTCGTCAGACGCGAGCTGTGGAGACCCAAATTTAGTTTAGGCGAGCGGGTCACAGAGAAGCCCTTCTGATTTCGCCTGGGAGCCGGTTCGCGCAAGTTGACCTTCGGTTGCCTCTGCCCATCCACGACTGAGTCCTGGCCAATCTCAATCCGGTCCAAATCTTCCTTCGCAACAGCATCAGCCAATTTCTTTGCTTCTTCCTCCTTGCGAGGCAGCATTGGTTGGTGTCTATTCCCCTGAATATTATTATTGACCCAAACGGTCTTTTTCATCCCAGGTAACGGGATGGAAATATCATCTGCATCATATATTCGAGTCCCCAACTTCTTGGTCATCATATGGGGCCCAAATCGTTCCTTGCGAGATGGAGGATCAAACGCACATTCGCGTTGAAAGTGTCCCACTCTCCCACCATGGAAACAAATGGATGGGAGATGGTCATACTTCAATCGCATCCAAAAGCGTCTCGTTTCCTCACTAGCCGCCATTATTTGTGATCGCAGGGGCGAGAGAAATCAATCATCGCTTTGACCTTTAGGAAATAGGTCCCTGTCTCCTGACAGGAGTAGACCCCTGCCTCGAGGACTTGGCCAATGGTGGGACTCGCCACCTTCATTCCAAATTTTGCTGTACATCAATCCTCCTGAACATCCCAGAGCTGCACCCGAAAAGGCGCCACCGCAAGCTCTTCATAGGTCTGTCGAGTGACAGCCGGGGTCCATGATTTGAGATGGATGATCACCCAAGGGGTCCTTTTCAACACCCACGTCTTGGATTCTTCATTAGGGAGAACGAATTCGAATAACCCATGGTTTGCTTGCAACACTTTGATTCTCCCTTTGCATTGCCATGGCGAATTCACCGCCTCTCGAAGTTCAGCAGGTGTGACGCGAGCCGTTGTGAAGACCCGGCCAAGAAGCGTGTGCGAGCTCCGCGCTTTCACGGACTGGACTTCATTGAGAGAGAAGTGAACTACTTGATCATCACTGATCTGCGTGGCCATAGTGTCCTGCAAAGGAAAGTTCGGGTTAATATCCCTTAATGGCGCGCCAGCGCTCAACCTTGGTGTGGTGTATCCCTGCATGGGGGTCACCCGAGCACGTGTATCGAAATCCTCGTTAGGTGGGAAATCAATTAGGAGAGGGGGGATACCTGTGGTAGGCGCCAACTTCCAGAAGAAATCCCAGCTCTTCTTTCCACCGTCCCAACCTTCACGTTCCAATGGTTTAGAGACGAGGTGTGAAGGATTTAAATAGAGCTGTAATCCCAGGAGTTGTATTTCCGTATGGTTCGTTTCCACACGGTTTCCCGACGGGCCACGCAATCTCGGATTCGGATACGTGATTAACTGATCAATATCCTCATCCCTGCGCCCATCCAAATCCTCTCCCTTAACCGTTTTTTTGAATAAAATATTATTAACCAAAACCCATTTTGGTTGTTTGTTGCACCGGCGAATATTCAGGGAGATATTCCCTCCCTTTATTCTCGTAAAATCTGGTATCGTAGACTCCGAGAAATCCCAACCACTATCTCGCCGCCGGGGGGGAGTTCCGCCGATCGCCACATTGTCGTCCAAAGAGATCCCACCAGTCAGAAGCTGGGTGGGTACACTCTTGAACAATACGATAGGAGGTTAAGGCCAGATCATTCACGATTTTCTCCGCCACTTGGCAGAGGTTTAGATCGCAGTCTAGGGACCCCCACCGGACTGCCAACCCAGTGACATGGGAACGTCTCCCCACTCCTTTGTTGGTTATGCTCGTCGGTGTACGCTCCACCATGGGGCCTGCACCGTCTTGGCCGTAATTCGGGGTATCTTTTATACCCAGGCCCTCCAATTCTTCCAGCGAAGGTAGCTTGAAACGCCATCCCTTCTTCTTCCAGACCAATCGTCTTCTCTTTGTTTGGCAGTAGTTTATATCACACTCCATCATTTTTGTCACCAACTTCCTTTTCTGACCCCTACGCCGCGGATGAGCACTTCTCTGCCGTTGCCAGAGCCCGTACCCTGTTTCCGGCGCGGCGTGAGGAGATGAACACGAACCCTCAAGCACCCTCCTTGCCTTCGGTTTCTCTGAAATCCTTTGTTTTTGGCATTTGGTGAAGAACGCCACAGCATACAGCTGGTTGCATAGACTCACAAACAGCATCCGCCTTCCCATCTTGAGAAGAGTACGGCCGAACCATCGGCAGACGAAGAGGAGAGAGAGGAGAGCACTCCTCCGCATTTTTTTTTTTTTTTGCTTTCCTTCCTTTGTTCTTTGTTAATGAACTGGTCCTTTTTGCGTAGATGAATTTATCAAGCCAATGCAGCAATACAATTCTAAAGTACATCCCTCAACTGGTCAAGTGGACTTGGCACAACTGGTCAAGTGACCTTCATGTTTCAATTTTTGTAATTTTCTTAAAATACGTAATATCAAGTGAGTTTCATATTTTTAAAATTTCTTATACTAAATGAAAAAATAGTTTTACTTAAGTTTAGAATGAAAAACTTTATTTTGAAAAACCATGTATTGTATATTTTTCTAATTATTCAAGTGGATTAGATGAAATTCGGGTTGAATCGGTCGGGTTACGGGTTAGTCGGGTTCGGGTCAATCGGGTTCGGGTTAATCGGGTTGCGGGTCAGTTGGGTTGCGGGTCAATCGGGTTGCGGGTTAGTCGGGTTGCGGGTTAGTTGGGTTGCGGGTCAATCGGGTAGCGGGTCGGGCGGGTTACGGGTTGTTGACTTTTAGTCAATTCGGGTTGCGGTCGGGTTGCGGGTCGGGTTGATCGGGCGGGTTAATCGGGTCGGGCTATGTTTTGACACATATAGTTATGGCTATGAAAGTGTATTTTGTCAAATTTTTATAACTTATGTATTTTGGGAATTTGTTTTAAGAATATGTGTACAGTGGGATTTTTTCCTATATTCAAAGGGCATAAGCATTAAAATGGGCTACTGCCAACTTATATTTGTGCCAATAAATTGATATTGGATGACATTCGCGGAGAGATAAGAGATAGAAGGCGGGGTAGAGGGAGACGGAGAGAGATACATGCTCTAAATTCCACGAACATCGTGCATTATCAGTTACTTGTGCAATTTTGAAAGAATGAGGAAACACATTATCATCAACATTATCAATCTTCTGCTTATTCATTTAATTTATTTTTAAAATGTTCTAGCAAAACCAACCAAAAATAGAACTATCAGTTGTCGCTAATTTATTAAAATGATATTTTCAAGCAAATTAAACTGCATATAAACACAATTTATATTTGTCAAGAGCTACATGCCCCCTTCAAAAAGCAATAGTGTATTTTTTTTTACCTAATAACAACATAGACGAATTGTAAAAGTTGCATACTTCACTTAATCGGAATGAATATAAATGTTTTTAAGAAATAATTATTATTGCTCGATCAAGTTATATTCTGACAATTATTTTATTATATGACATAATTATTTATATAACAATCATTTTAATTGGTAGATATATATATTATAAAGAAGAGAAGTTTTAATATATAAATTCATATATTTCATTTTTCAAAATCGATTGATTGTCAAATGCCCGATTTGTCACTTTGTGTTGTTATATTTTATTTAATAGACAAAGATATTATTATTTGTGTGTGTACTTCTTTATGTTTTCATCAAAATGTAACTTATTATTAAATTTTGGTTAAAAAATGAGTAGATAATTTACTTCATAAGATTTAATCATACATTTTTTGTTTACACAAACCCAATATATGTCATTCTTTGTTTCCATCTTTATGTTTTGTTTAATAGACAAAAATATTATTATTTATGCTTGTTTTTATTTACATTCGTAACTTATTATTAATGTTGAGTAAAATTCAGCATAAATACTAAAAGTATAGAGAGAGATAGCTTTATAAATAGATCAATAATAAAAAAATTTGTTAGTAAAAAAAATGTCCACCTAGGCAACTTGTTATTTCTCCAAGTGCTTATGTGACAAGAAGTGTTTTGAATTGTCATAATATATAGTATATAACTATATATAGATATAGATAGATAGATATAAATGTATTATCCGCCCGTCTGTTTGCATCCCTATGCTTAGTATATGTCGGTCATTAAGTAGGGTAAATTTAACTGTCAAATTAAATATGAAATTAACATGGACATAGAAAAGTGCAAATCGTTGAATTGTCGAGACAAAGGTCCACTTAAATAAATGTAATGGGAATAATTTCTAACCTATCGTACACTTTATCACGGCATGGTATTAGGATCACAATTTCATATTTAACTGTCAAATTAAATATGAAATTAACATGGACATAGAAAAGTGCAAATCGTTGAATTGTCGAGACAAAGGTCCACTTGAATAAATGTAATGGGAATAATTTCTAACCTATCGTACACTTTATCACGGCATGGTATTAGGATCACAATTTCATATTTAACTGTCAAATTAAATATGAAATTAACATGGACATAGAAAAGTGCAAATCGTTGAATTGTCGAGACAAAGGTCCACTTGAATAAATGTAATGGGAATAATTTCTAACCTATCGTACACTTTATCACGGCATGGTATTAGGATCACAAAGCATAGATATTTCATTGATTGATTAATGAGCTATTAATGGTTATGCTTTTATGATAGTAGTTATGTGTTTACTGTTTGGAACAATGAAGAGGTTCCGCGAATCTGTGTTCCTATGTCCTTTGAGATGATTTTGTATGTCTGCAATAACCAGATGTTGAGACATGTTTGCCTATGGGCCAATGACGAAAAGTGTTACACAAGTTATGCCTAACCAGTGAACCTAATATATGTATATAAAAGCGCTCTCTCATACGCTCATGAAAAGTGAAAGAGAGTAAATGCTATGAGAATTGTCATTCTCGAGCACAAAATTTAGTAGCAAGTGGGATCAATGAGTCAATGACGATGAGAAGGCAAAATAAGAGCCGAGCCACCACAAAAATAGTGTTTTTCACAAGGGCAACGGAGACTAGCCACAAAATGATTCCCACTGAAACATTGCCACGCCTTAGCTTTAGCACCACACCCTCAGCTACGATCATCATGTCTCACCCTTCAGTTAAAAAGAAGTGTACAAAAACATTAGCAACAAGATTGAACATGATGTTAAAACTCACATCACACAAGAAAAATAGAAGTCAGGTTGACGATAGTGATCTACATAGCGTAAAAAGGACATAAGATGTTGATATATTGATTTAGAGTAATTAATTATATGTGCATCCATTCATTCGTAGACCTACAAGGTTACTAAATGTTGCACTCACAACAGCAAGATCGATAGATTGATTGGCACATATAGAAGATTCGTCCAAATTCACCCGTGAAGCAGAAATAAGGCAAGTTCAACAAGAAACATCAATTAAAATGACCAGGAGAAGAACACTTGACCAGCATAAAAGAGTAGAAGTTAGGATCCAAATTTTCGTAGACGATATTCCAGAACTTGAACATTCAAGACTCCATCAAAAATCAAGAAGTTACGTCGAAACAACACAATAGCTTCTTAGCAATTACTTCTTAACTTGCCAAAGCTTATTAGCATGTAATGACAAAAGGTTGAGTGTAACCTGCGACTATCCAAAAGCAGATGCTTTCCGATTCAAACCTCTTCTTTACTCTGATCAGACTCTGTCCCTGAGTAAATCAAGCCAAAAGATGACATAAAATCCTGTAAACCACTTTTCATGATCTCTACTTCCTTCACTCAAACATGTACAACTTACATATTGAATTAGATAATATAAAATTAAATATTTGTTACCCATCAAGCCCGAAAATGTATATCTTATTATGGCACAAAAATCCATGCAATTTGTCGAAAAACTTTGGCCAGACAGCATATAACATCTGCCATTGTTTTTCATACTCGTACCGGTGACCCTACACATGTAAAGATGGAGAAAAAAACATGTTACATTGAGTGGAAATAGTGGAAGGCAAATGATCAAGGTTTGAATGACATACATTTATGTTCGCCGGGAAGTGCTCACAAGCATTCCTACAGAAGCGTAGAAAGCATCCAGGAAACGTGCTGTACGAACTCTTTCGGAAAAGTTGGCCCAGAACAGGATGATTCCGCACTTCTCTTGTCCAGTCAAAAGTACCTTTTCTTGTAAAATCAACATTCAGATGTCTAACGAAGTTCAACTCCTTTACCCATTTATAAGCTACTAAAAAGTAGTCAAGTCTACTTTTGGCTCCAATGAAGAAAAGTGACTCAGACAAGTTCAAACATCCATCTTTCCTGAAAATAGGCAAAACAATGAACCATCCATCATACACGTATTGAATCTGAAGGTAGGTACTTCCTATTTTCTTTCATGAAGGTTAACTGGATCTTATTAAAGCAAAAAACAAGAAAGAGAGCAAATAACATCTTCATGTAACAGATAACTAAATTTAATATGTACACATAATCAACAAAGAAAAAAACTAACCTGAGCTGCTTAAGAAGACGGTCAATTACATAAGGAATGGCAGGGGTGTTCGTAGCCGAACTTGAAACCGTCATTGACTCCGTGATAAGTTTTCGAATCAGCACATCCAAATCCTCACAATCTTTAGTTTTGGCATCTTTAATACGCTGTTTAATCAGCCCATCCACATCCGGACAATCTTTACGTGTTTTCTCGTCCAAATCCTCTTTAGATGGAGGGGGCTTAAGACCTCTTAATTTCACAGAAAAACCATTCGACTTCTTCTGGAATACAATGCTCGCCGCATCATTTAAGTTGCTGTGCGGCCTCCCTCTCCCATAATGGAGCATTTCCAGAGCCAGGAATATATCCCTACAATAAAACAAAGGGCAATCATTACGCACAATTTTTACTACTTTGGGATGGTTAGAGATATAAATAATGAAATATACCTGAGGGCCTTGAAAAAGGGAACTTTAACAACCCCATCTCGTGAGACTATTGGTTGATGGTAGTCGCAGAATCCCTGCAAATCATTGGTATAGTGTTCGTAGGCAAAGAAAGCGGTTTCACCTTCATAAAGTCTGTAGACGGGTCGAAGAACCCGTGTCAACCGCGAATCAGTTACCGTCAAGAAGGCAGCTTCCTCTTCCTGGGACTGACTTCGTGGGATGATGCGCATGGAGACAAACCCAATCTCACAACCCATTCTAGCTGTAAAGCATTTCACTTGGCCATGTGATTTGGAGCTGCCCACAGTAAAGAATTGAATATTCTTTGCCCAACATTCATGCTGCAAACACGAAACAATTGTTTTATTGAAAACAAAGAAACAATAACTAAAATGTCACGACTCGACTTTGGACGTAACCAGCGTGTGGAGAACCCTATCAATCCACACTTTGGACGTTATACCTCAGGCAGTGATCGGTACGACTCCATCTGCACACTGAATCTCAAATTAGCTAGGTTGAATCAGCAGTAAAACAACCTGAGATGAATAAAGAAAGTGCATAAAGTAATATAACAATATACTGTATACCACTACAACTAACCCACCAACTTCTAGAAAATAACCATCTCTTCGAACCCATATCTACAAAGTTGCTGGAAACCAGGGAAACAGAAAAGGGAAATAGGAAAGGGAGATCGAACTACAAACCAGGGCACAAGAAATCCGGACCGAGAGTGCGAGGCGGGCTCCTGAAGCTCCGACTTAAATCGTCAGTTAACGACTGCGCTCCCTCCTCTTCCTACAAGTACCACCACCAAAGCGTTCTGCCGTCACTTTAGGTCTTGAAAGTTGAAATGGCGGAACTGGTTTAATGGCGGGACTTAGGGTAGATGGCTCTGTTGGGCCCGTGGTTGGGCCTTTAGATAGTAGTGTTGGGTCCGTTTGGGGTTATTGGGTTAATAGATAGCGGCCGATACTATGGTGCCGCTGCTTGTGATTGGTCCACGTAAGCTATTATTTGGCAATGGTTGGATTCAGTAAGTCCAATCTTAAACCCGGTGGCCCATGAGTCCTTGACCAGTTGACCCAACCAACGTTACCAAACAGACGGAATACAGAAATGTCGTCCGCTTATGTCTATTTATTACTATTGTGATTAATTAATTTGTAACTGGTGTAACCGTTGAGCTTCTTTGTTTTCCTGCAGAAACGGGAGAAGGAAGAAGAAAGAAAAACAAAACTCTTCGATCTCCCTCGCCGGCGGGCTCTCCAAAAGCAGTTCCGACAACTTCGTCGTCGCCAATTCCATATCCAGGCTCTACCTAACGCCTCTACAGAATTCCCTCGCTATTTTCTCTGAATATTTGTTATGTAAAACACAGGAAAAGGAAGACATCGACTTCACCAGCCCTCTGTCTCCATCTAACAGCGTCGCCGCTAAACTACCATACGTTCCTAGAAGAAGAGGGTCTCCCTTCTGTGCGTCGTCCCCCTTCTTGTACGTTGTCCCCCTCCCTCCGTGGCTTCCCTGTTGGAGTCATTGAAACAAATTTTAGGAGGTGCGGAGCGACTTTCCCCACCAAATCGAAAGGTTGCTAGGTAATTAGAGTAATATGTATTCAATGGAGTAAGGCAACGATTCGGGTCATTTTAGTTCCCTTTTACCTTGTGAGTCAGGGATGCTGCAATGGGAGAATCGCTTATTTGTTGTTCCTTTGTCATTCTAGGTCTAGCGAGTAGGGATGGCAGTTCAACCCGGACCCGCGGGTACCCGACCCGACCCAACCCGGTCAAACCGGGTAAAACCCGTGTTGACTGGGTTCGGGCCGGGTTCGGGTTTAAACCCGGTGACTGTTTGGGTGGGTTGGGGCGGGTTCGGGTTTGAGGGAACCCGACCCGTGGATACCCGGACATACATCTAATCTCTAACCCTACCCCCAAATTACCCCAGGACTGTCGACTCCCCCCCCACTTCCCAAAGACAAATCCCATTTTCCAGGTCCCAATTCCCATCGCCGCCACGCCAAAATCTCCGCGACCCATCTTCCTCTACGGCGATGACGGAGAAGGAGGCGGCAGATTTGTTGAAATCGGGAGAGTATGTAGCCGGGAAGAAGTAGAGGCGGATGAATTTCTGGCCGGGGTTGACTGGGAAAGAGTAGGTGAAGTTGGAGCGAGACCATCGGGCAGAGAGGTAAGGCACTTTTTCGAGCCTTGTGGAATGCTCTGTTGGTGTGGAAGAAGCCGACTCCGAACCGGGCTGGAGGAATTTCGAAGGGTTGTCGCCGTCCCAGCTCCGGTCGTCGGCTCTGTTGCTGCCGGAGGTTGTGGAACCGCAATCGACGACTATGTTGTCGATGGGAGTGTAGTCGCCGGCGGAGAGTGTGGGAGAGGGTTGTCGCAGTCACCATCGTCGCCATCCCCGAATCGTCGTCGCCATCATCGTCGCCACCATCGTCGCCATCGCCTCGTCTTCCCTCTCTGTTTCTCTCCCCTTTCACTTGTTCTTGCTTTGTTGTTGACTTGTTGTTGTTGTTGCATGTTTCGATCTGGGCAAGATCGAGACTGAGGGTGCAGATCGAAGGCGGTCACAAATCGGATGGTGAGACTGAGAAGAAAGAGGGACCAGATCAGGTGTGATTGAGATGTCGCCGCCAGTTTTAATTCTTAGTGTTGATTGAAGGTTTGCTTCCATATGGATTGGGGAAATGGGTTGTGGTGAATTGTAATTTTCCCGTTTCTGCACCTCCGCCCATCCCCTGCTCTTCCTCTGCCGAGAAACCTTCCAAGGTCCAGACTCTAAAAAAACCCACAGGTACCCGTCAACCCGCGGATACCCAGCGGGTTGGGTTGGGTTTGGATTTTTCAAACCCGGCGGGTTTTACCCCGGGTTTTTTTGACGGACAAACCCGTGGGTTTGGGTTCGGGTTTGGCAAAACCCGCCCCAACCCGACCCATTGCCATCCCTACTAGCGAGGAGCAGGGGAATCAATGTTATGTCCCTGTTTTATCTTCCATCTTTCAGTTTATGCGTTTTTTTTTCTTCTGTTTACCGGGGATGGATGTAATTTGCAATGGATGCTCTAGTTGCAATGGTATTTTGTTTTGTCCGACAGATTTTGGCTGATTTATCATAGTTATAGTTTGTGAGATGGTAGGTCTAGTCGTAATTTTGGCTTTCAGAGATGTTATTGGTGGCCTTAATATTCTTGCACTTTTGATTCACTGCCTATGATGCTGCTTCCATATCAAACATGCCTTAGCACGGGAAAGAAGCATTTTGTCTTTCTTAATGTGGATTGTGTTGTGTTTATTCTCAACAAAACATACGTTGGACCAATTAGAGTTTTGATCACAAATCGTACGTCCATAGACCATAGCTCCTCTTATAACTTATTAGTTATTACAATCATCAATATCTGTGAAATCAATGTGGGAAGAAAAACCTTTTCAGAATAAAACTCTATCTCACGCCTTTAATGAGAAGAATTTCTGGATTGAGAATTTAAAAAGAAAAGACTTTTATTTCATTCAATCACAATACAAATTGGAAGAAGAAAGAACCTTAGATAAGCCAAACGAGTTGGCCCTTTGTCAACCACTTCCCAACACAATTCACCCAGTACAACGACACTGTGAATTTGCTACTAAAGTATCTAAAATCCAACGTCTAGTCTAATGGAAAATCTTAGAGCAGTCTAATTTACCAGCTTTCTTCTAAATGAGATTGGACTTGTAAATAGTAAATTCCTACAAGTTTCTGAAGGATATCATTCAACTCGATATTAACATTACATATATCACTCTAGTGATCATCAAAATCTCATCGGCATTCTCCAACAAAACCAATTTGTGCGAACGAACTGCCAAGCATACTTAGTTGATGCAGCTTTTTGCTCCAAAGAAATGAAGAACATGACCATGAATTCAACCAATTTTAGGAAAGTGAAATCCTTCCAACATGTAAGCACCAAGCAAATGATTCAAGATAGAGGGAGAGTCGTCAACAAAATGGTAACCGCAAATCAAGAAGTATGCCCCGGCCCGTAAGAATTCACCAGAGCTTGTTAAGTCTTCTTCACACACAAAAAATAATAATCACAAACTACCCTTAAGTTTCATCTTAAGGTAAACCCTTCGAACATGTAAAGATCTCCCCTGGAATTTTCCTCTGCTGGGATTCAGCTAAAGGAAGTTAGCCTCCAGAATAAAATCCTGGCTCTTGCCTATGATATTGAGCATGTCAATGGGGAAGTTCATTCCATTTTTATAGAGGTGCTACAGTACAAACTAACAGGTATCGGAAGGCAAGTCCAGAATAGGATGGGAAGATAACTCCGTAGTAGCAACAAGTGACGATGGCGAAATTAGCAGCGTTAGCAGCAGGAATGTGAGGGAACGCTTGTATTGTTTGATGCTTAGATACCAACCCGAATCCTCCACCACGAGCTCCTGTCAAATGTCAATCAACAATCAAGGGCCCTTCAATTACACTATTACGCTCCTTCCAATTCTCGGAGACCAAAGGAGAAGGTGGTCATCGCTCACCGGACGGTGGTGTATATGCGGCGTTTCCTTTTTGCAGCTTTGAATCGCCAGAAGCCCCGATGATGCAACTTCTAGAATCTGCTGACTAAACTCCAGCGCGGTTGTTCTAAGATATGGAGCACTAAGCGCAGACTGTTGAGTGTTGAATCAAATGAAGACGACGACAACTTTATCTCGGCCGTGTTTGGGCTGGACTCGCGTATGGAAAAGACTAGATAATGGATTAGCAACGAAGAAGGTCACCGGAACTGCTGCTGACAGTCCGTCGGAGTAGGAGAGAGAGGAAGACAACAAATTGCATCAGTTTTGGGTTTCTTCTTCTGTTCTTTTTTTGTTCTCGCCGAAAAACAAAGTCGCAGGAATTTCTATATTAATTAACGAGAGAAGAAAAATTAAACTGATAAACAGATCCAGAATGGACGGAAACAGAGAAGACTCTGTTTCTCTGGCCAATAGCTATTTCGGTTGGTTGATGGTCACCGAGTTCGATACATGATTTAATGAATCCAACCACTGCCAAATAATAGCTTAAGTGGACCAATCATAAAGCGTGGCACCGGTGCCGCCATTTTTATAACGGCACTATAGTATTGGCCATAGATAGCAAAGCTGTTCTGCAGCTTATGTTGGGTTTCTTGGGTTGTCTATTGATAGGTCAAAAGCGTATGCCTTAATCCTATCTTGTAGTAAAACCGGAAAGTCCGGATATCGTCTCTTAGGGACTGGTACAACCTTAAGATTTACCGATTTAATAGAGCAAACTATAGGTGAAACTGGTTTAATGGGCAAATTAACTAAACAAGCAAATTAAAGTGTCGGGTTTAAATCAATGGGAGAAAGCTCTGGGAGAAACACCAGGACTCACTACCTATCTTATCCAGATTAATTCACATATTCCAATCAATTTAACCCATACCTCTACAGCCAGGATATCACGAATGTGCTAGCTATCCCTGTCGGGAATTACTACATACTAAATAATCAATTCAAATCCTACTGTCGTAGCTCAATGAATTAACTATATAGTCTGAAGAACGATATCCTATTTAAGACCGCATAGCACCTTATTTAATCCACTGTCGCTTCGATAAGTTACTATGTCACATGAAATATGTTCAGTTATTAGGGTTTCACTGTCGCTAATAACCTAATTAACTACAAATCAATGTATTGGTGGCCAGTCAACACAAAACATTAAGCAATTTCATGCAATAGAGATTGGAAGAAAAGAATCATAAATCAATCTACCAAATCAAGAGATAGCTACATCCTATGGTGTTTCCCCCAGATATCGGAGTTTAGTTCATGACGAAATTAAGATAAATCGATAGGGTTTTGTTCATCATGTTCTAAATCAACAATACACAACTAGTTCGGTTTAGAAAATCCAACTAACTAATCACTCTCGTTGAACTCAGCTCAAGCCTTGGAAAACTGATCACCAATCTGTCAATCGCTTGCTGCTGCTCGCTTTTTGCCTGCGCTGCCTGCTTCCCTTTTTCTTCCGCTGCGCCTCTCTCTATTCTCAATCGCCAAAAGAATTCCCCACGTTAAAATTAGTTCCGTCCCCAAAAATTGCTTCTTTTCCCTGCGTTCCAAGACAAGACACCCGCCGCCAATTAAATTCCATCCGTGTCCAATTCTTTGGCCCAAGGAATTCCTTTTTCAACAACCAAAAACGACCCCTTTTTTCTTGCCTGCCTTTTCTTTCTTTTCCAAGTATCGGCCCAATTCACCCTCCAAAGATGATCCAACTAATTGGACTTCCGTCCTAAAACTCCTCTGCTCCCCCAGCCAATTCCTCTGGGCCTTGAGCCCAAGCGAGTAGTCCACCAGTAATTCGAGCCCGATTTATTGCTTGTGCACTCGCTCCTTTTTCGTATTTTCTCCACCTGTATCATATCAAACTCATGGCACTAGGCAGTAATGGTTTTTCAACCATTCTTGGGTTAGCGAGCCCTAAAATAGCACCAATTGGCTAAAACATACCATGAGATAATCACATAAAGTTCAAGAATCCGATATATTAAAGCCGAATATCACAACCCCACACTCAATTGTTGCTTGTCCCTAAGCAACGACTCAAAAGACACAAACACATAACCATCCAAAACAATGACACACCACAGACGCAACACTCAAAGCAAAACACCAAATTCCCTTGTACTCTTGTTGTAATCAGTAGTTTCTTTCTCAACGGATAAGTTGTGCTTTAATGATCATACCTTTCACCCCACACTCAAGTTCTTTGCAACCATTACCATTGACTGACTTAAATCCATCAAAAGCTCAAATAGCAACACTCAATTTCGAGAATCTAACCACATCAGTGAGGTGCATATCTCGTGAGGACAATCTGGCTTACTCACACCAATCATAAGCAATTAACAAAGCATGAGTCTCAAATACTAATGGGGGAAGCCTTTCGCAAACATGATTTTACTTTAAGCACATCACTACCTTTTTTACAAGGAGAGGCTTTCTCTCTTTCTGCTTTTGCTTGCCGAGAGGTCGTATTTAGTACAAGTGGGATTTGTTTCTTACTACCGGTGACCGAGCAAGAGCAATTTCTGCTTCTTAGCACTCGCATAAGGGCTTCTTTTAACTCCTTATCCTCGGTCCGTGTGGAGGGTCATTGCACATCCTCAAATGGCACTTCACTCAACTGGGATCGTACTTGATAAGCAACATCGTACGGTCGCGAACCGATTCTCAATTGAATCTTTCCTAATCCCCATGTGCAATGAGTGATTGCCTCACACGATTTTGGTATTTTTACCCACACTTTAATTGTTATGGCAACTTTCTTATATTTTTACTTGTCAGGTAGTGTTTTCTTTTATGAAGATACAGTACACCCCATCATAAAACAATCAAAACAGAGAGACTCGTTGCAAAATCAAAAGCTCACAATTGATGCAAGTAAGCACGGTATCCCAACATGTCGAATGGTCAATGTTCTCCACCTAGCTACTTCACCAAAAGTCATTACACTATCCTCCCAAAAGAGAATGTTGCTAAAAGAGTTTGCTAATTCAAAGCACACCAAGTCAGTCAAAACATCAAGCTCATTGTGAAGAACCATGCAATTCAACACTAGTGGGGTGATTTCGATGATTTCATTCAAGCACAGACTCATTTCACACGCATCACGGTCATTTACATCATGTTACCACAAGAGTACAAGGTTTTGTTTTGAATTTTTCTGATTTTTAGGTGTTTTTTAGCCATTAACTTTGCACAGGCAGCCTGCTTTTTACACAGGCAAACTGCATGCAGTTTGGCTGTGCTCAACCTAATGGCATTTTTTTTTTGGATTTTTTTTACCGACCACATGACAAAAGGAACAAACAAACACTAAGACTCGCCACCCCACACTCAGATGGAACATTGTCCCTAATGTTCAACTCCTAATCTAAACATGCACGGTTTGACACAACGAAAAAGAAAAATAAAGAAAAGAAAACTTACCTTGGGTTGCCTCCCAAGAAGCGCTTGTTTAACGTCCTCAGCCTGACGTTTATGGAGCTTTCAACCAATGGGTATGGAAAGGTATCCAGCATACCCTCCCGAGCTGATAGAACACATAGCCTCCATCTAACATATGAGTCACCTCTGCAGGGCCAGGTGTACGAAAATTTGGTATGACCTTCTTATCTTGCATGTTGGACCCTTTAGTGAGGCGTAGGTGGTATTGCAGCGCCTCAAGCAAGTACTCTTCCTGTTTCGATGTCAGTGAAGAAGGAATAATAACAAGAAGATTGAAATCCTTACCCAAATATCTATACTTGAAGTGATCTGGCAAGGATTTCTGTCCTTGCTTTGATTTCAGAATCTGAGCTGATAGGACATGTGATACTTCAGCTGATCCACTATCACAGGAAGAGGAATTTTTCCTTTCTCGAGCTCCACTTTCAAGGTCATCAAATGCATCGTGATTATGATCAACTTGAAAGACATTAAAAATTTCCTCCTCCTTACCTACTCGGAATGTCAGTTTGCCTCTCCCAACATCGATGAGTGCATCTCCAGTTGCTAGAAAAGGTCTCCCAAGAATGAGAGGCACTCCCCGATCTTCTTCCATCTCCAGAATCACAAAATCTGTTGGGAGAATAAACTTCCCCACCTTCACCAATACATTCTCCACCACTCCTTTTGGAATTTTTACTGATCGATCAGCCAATTGGAGAGTGATCCGAGTAGGCTTAAGAACATCTCCCAATCCCAATTTCTTGTAGACTGAGTATGGCATCAAATTAATTCCTGCTCCAAGATCACAAAGTGATTTGTTGAATTTTGTACCTCCAATGACACATGGAATGGTGAAGCTGCCCGGATCATCCCTCTTTTCTGGTAATTTATTCTGAATCACAGCACTACATTCAGAAGTAAGGGTTACCTTCTCTAAATCCTCTCGATCTGCCAACTATCATAGAAACTGAACTTGGTAATTGCAATCCGGCTTAACTGCAGTCTAGGGGGAACAAGAATTCACCGGTAATTGCAATCCGGCTTAACTGCAATCCTGAAAACAACCGTTTACTTGCTTTGTTTGTTTGATAGTTTAGACTTGCATTAAAGTTTCATTGCTAGATAACAAGAATTCACCGAGTAGTCATCAAATCTAGGACCCGGGTTGACATTTAAACCCAAACCCGCTATACTACGCTTTAGGAAGTGGTTTCACTTGGCCAATTCCTGGAGTGACAGTAGAAGTGAGTCACTGAACAATCGACCTCATAATATATATTGTTGCTATGTAGGGAGGGTTTAAAAGAAGAGCTATTTATTTATGTAGTCAGTGAAGAATGACATGGGAATTGCTTCCCGTAATATATTCACAATCAATCTTAGAAAAGAAGGGCTATCAAACTCCCCTAATAAATTTAGAATTGAAATAAAAATGCAAGTCTAAATCCATTAACAAAAAGGTTATTCACAACCAAACACATCTAATAAAGCATCCTTCTTCTACCAACCACTAATTTGTCCAATGGGTGTAGGACCACTCTTGCTAATAAAAACATAGAAAAGAAACTAAAATCACCCACCAATGGAACATGAATATTAAAGCTTCATTATTCATGATCAGTTTAGTTCATGCTTTCTTTTGAGATTGTCCTGTGGAGTGCCAGCAGTTGGAATCACATTATTTGGGGGCATGCTCTTAGTAGCATTTGAGGCTTCTGCCTCTGCGAGCTCACCCTCCCTGGCAGCATGTGGTGAACTGTGAGGAGACACCCTCCAGATACTGCTACACATAAGAACAACGAACATCAACATCAGTAGGTGAATCGAGGCAGATGCTCAGTTATGTGATAGGGTGTAAAAAAGTAACAAAACAATTAGACAAAAGTGGAAGGAACTTTATGTTCTGCTGTGGTTTATAGTTTTACTGTACATATGGCAAGGCTGGATTGAAACCCAGTATAAGCTGATCGATCATATAACTAAATACATTGAACGAATTGAATTAAGCCAAGGAATGTGGGAGAGACTCATGAGGTCGCTGCAAGTCCCCCTGAAATGTATAAGAGAAAAGTTCAAACAAAATAGATAGCAAATCAAGGGTTGATAATGGTTATCTATACTACTCAATAACTAATCAAGGGTCCATAATGGTTGTTCAATTCCCTATTCTACAAAGAAGATGCTATGGATAAGAAGCTAGTGTCCAGTCCCACAACGATACAGAAGAACATAATGTCTAAGTGAGCAAAACAAACGTGTGACAACAGAGAGTATTGGCAACAAAAAAAACCTATAGAGAAGCCAATTAGTCCAATCTGGTTTCTTAGATTTATCACTGGAGAGGGCTAGCAGGAATTTGGGTCTCCTAACTCACTTCATTGATAGAATGCAATGAAATTAAAGAAGTCAAGCTCAGTAGGATTTCATATATTGAGGACCAGTTCACTCACCTGGCCAATGCATGAAATTGTGGTTCTTTGACTCACCGAGTGATAGAAACCCGGATTTAAAACATCACTCCAAACCCCGCGAAGACTGTGAGAGGAGGAAGGTCGGTGCGGCTAAGGGGAGTCGACGATGACTGTCAGAGAACCGAAAGGGTTTCTTTCGACTGCTGGAAACGCTAATTCTCTTCGTGGATCGGTGCGGCAAGGGGGAGTCGACGATGACTCCACATATAGCTACTCATAAAAATAACGAACATCAACATCATTAGGTGAATACTCATTCAAGAATATAAGAAAAAGACTCTACAAATAAAAGAAAAGATAAACTGGACAGAGGGAAACGAAGCAACCAGACCATTTCGAATAAAAATCAACAATTCGAAACTCCCTTTCAAGCACCATCATCGGCGCTTCCATCTCTGTGCACTCGCCGCCGTCGTCACCAGTCTAACCTCGCCGCTAAAGCCTTCAGATCCCGGCGTCAACACCATTTGTCTCGAGGCAGGCCAAGATCTGGATCTCCCGCCGATATTGCGATCTGCTCACGAAGGTGGTCAACCCTGGAGTCCCGCAGCTCCGCCAATCCTCTACGTTCAAAACCGTTGCCTGTTGCTCCTCACCGCCCGAGTCCATATCTCCCCATCTACCGCTACGGATCGAGCGAGTTCTGCATAAAGAATGAATATATAGGTCGAACATTCAGGAAAATACCCTCCTCATTTAAGAATATAAAAATGTATAATTAATCCCATTTTCATAATGATAATTGAGCCCCCATTAAAATGATATTGGTTAATAGATTGTCCAGAAATATATAATATAAAAGCTCATTGGAATTCCCACATGATCCATAGCTAGGTTGAAACTGAAATGAAACTTCACAATCCCACATAAATGGTTCAAAGTTCTCCTCTATGAATAACATGCCACTAATAAAAAAGAAATGGATTAAAAAAAAAACAGAAATGAAGAGTTGTTGATTTAAGTAAATCATATGCTAACATTTGGGTGAGTTTGTATTTAGTGTTTTCAAAATCGTGGTATATGAGTTAGATGATTAAAATATCTGAACCCAAACGAACCGACCCACATACACCTCTAGGAAGAATTTTAAAACTTAGTATTTAACCAGACAAAACTGTTCAGAGAACCAGTCCCCTATAGTTTGCACAAAGATATGATTGCTTCACTATAGTTCTGGAAATTAATGGTAATTTAAGAATTCTATATCGCTTCTATATATTCAATACTATAATTCGATATGAAATATACGAACCAACAATATTTTGGTTGCAAATTTATGATTATCGTCTATTTATGAGATAGATAAAATTTAAATTAAGTATTAAACTATAATTAAAATAAAAAATATCGAAATCGAAAGTATCAAAACACCAAATAAGTACTTAGGGAATATTTATTGGGCTAGCTAACTGTTGAAAAGTTCTGTGATTTCATATTTTAGCTTCGTTTATATTTTTAATTTAAAAAATACAACAAATCTACATAGTCGGATTAATTTTAAACCTTCACTTTGTTTGAAGTGACCATGGTTCAAATCTCAATATGTCTATCTTTTTCTTTAAATAAATAAAAAATACAGATAATCGTGAAGACAAAAATGTCATTCCTAATTTCCCTCTCATTGCAGAAAATTTGAAAAGGGAGATTAAGTTTCAAATAATTAAATCATATACTCTAAACCTATAGAACTTAAACCCTAATATCACATATACTAAGAACATAATCAATGATTATGATTCGCCAAGATGTATACAACATACCATATGCACTATATTAGAATTTAGAGAATTATGATATAGGGTTTAGTTACGTGATTAATCTATGGCCTAGATAATGTTATTTAACTAAGGAGAAGCAATAACCCTCAATCCATCCAGTGTACCATAGAATTTCCAATGTATATACACATATCATTGTTTGTTAAATTTAGCCAATGATAATTGACTCATTTGTCAATGGTATTTAGTCTTTCAATTCTATGCTTATAATTGTCAACCATTAGGGAAATTGTTGGCCAATGATTTTTGGCCATTCACTTATAACATTGAAAATGTCTCGTTACAAAACCATAGATAACAAATGCCAAATTTTATGTTTTGAAATAAAATTTTGTATAGCACTTTTGTAAACAATCCTTGTATTCCTGCAAACTACAAAGTCATGTAACCTAATAAATGTAAAAGTTGTAAGACATACATAAACTCAAAATGTACTATTTGATTCTTGGTGAAGAATTGTGTGATTCATAAAGCTAGGTATATCATGATGATTCACTTTGTAAATAATTACAGTTATTAATTAATTCGATGATTGATTGTTGCGGTGGATAGTCCTATGATTTTGAGATATTTCAGTATTTTCTCCCTTTAATTAAAAAATACATAAACATTGTTGTACTCCAGTTGGTTAGGGATATTGACTATCAATTTGAAGGACTCAAGTTCAAGTCTTGGTAATGACATTTTTTTCTCGTAAGAAGATATTTAAGTTCTAACTTGAACTTACAAATTTACCCCTGCAAGGAATTTGAAATGCTCAAAATCTCCTGAAGAACGACTATATATTATAGAGGGACTAGCTTATAATCTGGCCCGTTGGCCGGAATGTTCATATTTTAATATTTATATTTTTATGTTATGTTTAAGTCTATTCATTTGTTTAAGTTTATTGAAAATCATTCAATCGAGATTCTACATAAAGAATGAATATAGAGGTCGAGAGGAAAATACCCTCCTCATTTAAGAATAGAAAAATGTATCATTAATCTCATTTTCATAATGATAATTGAGCCCCCATTACAATGATATTGGTTAATAGATTGTCCATAAATATATAATATAAAAGCTCATTGGAATTCCCACACGATCCATAGATAGTTTGAAATGAAACGAAACCTCACAATCCCACATAATAGTTCAAAGCTCTCCTCTATGAATAACATGCCACTAATAAAAAAAAATGGATTTAGAAAAAAAAAAAACAGAAATGAAGAGTTGTTGATTCAAGTAAATCATATGTTAACAACTCAACTAAAAGGAGACCATCAATACTTGAAAACAAATGACAAAATTAGAGTTATATCCAATATACTAATAGACTGGATCAAAGTAATGAGGCACAAAATTAGATACTCCTTATCTACAGGTTCTATTAGTTTGAATAGTGAATCGACCTTAATTTTAGTAAATCAATCAATGATTCCTCGTTTTAACATAAACATAGGTTATGGTAGTTGCTACAACCATAAAACCTAAAGATCCAATAGTTTCCACTCTCCGTTGTACAACCAACCTTTTATCCCCTCCATCTTCAAATTCTCGACGTATATGTTTTAAACCAAAATTCAATTTCTAATCCTCCTTCTGCAACTCCATTTATGCTACTTTGATGGAACTTCTCTCCATGAACCTGACTTTCTCTTTCACTTGAGTTTCTTGTCAGCTTGATCTCCAACTCGTCAATCCTCTTTCTTGTATTTGGCCAACTCATCTTCCTCAGGGCAGTTTTAAAAAGCTCGTAAAACCAACACTCATCTTCAATTCCATCAATATGCTCTTCTCCTCCTTCTCTGCCTTCACCTGATCTAGTTCACTTCCATGCCCTTCAATACCCTCTCCATTTTCATTAATATCCCGATCATCTACCACTTCTCTCTCTTCAACTGCTCCGATATTGCTTCTTTGTCTTTCAATGCCCTCCTTGGTTCAATCACTACCCTAACCAACTACCTCCACTTGCTGCAAACTACTCCCACGACTTTTTATACACCTTCCTCAAAATCACAATCAACAAATCCATGGCCTTGGATCAGTTCTATAATTGTTAGCCGTTAGGAAGGTGTATAAAAAGTCATGGAAGTAGTTTGCAGCAAGTGAAGGCAGTGAAGAGACAGTTGGTCAGGGTAGTGATTGAACCAAGGAGGGTATTGAAAGACATAGAAGTACAACCAGAGCAGTTGAAGAGAGAGAAGTGGTAGATGATCAGGATAGTAATGAAAATGGAGAGGGTATTGAAGGGCATGGAAGTGAACTGGATCAGGTGAGTTGGCCAAATACAAGAAAGAGGATTGAGGAGTTGGAGATCAGGCTGACAAGAAACTTAATTGAAAGAGAAATTCAGGTTCATGGAGAAAAGGTCCATCAAAGTAGCATAAATGGAGTTGCAGAAGAAGGATTAGAAATTGAATTTTGGTTTAAAACATATACGTCGAGAGATTGAAGATGGATGGGATAAAAAGTTGGTTGTACAACGGAGAGTGGAAACTATTGGATCTTTAGGTGTTATGGTTGTTGCAACTACCACAACCTATGGTTATGTTAATCGGAGGAATCATTGATTGATTTACTAAAGTTAAGGTCGATTCACTATTCAAACTACGGGAACCTGTAGATAAGAAGTGTCTAATTTTGTGCCTCATTACTTTGATCGAGTGTATTAATATATTGAAAGTAACTTAATAATAGGAATTAAGTTTTATTTTTATTTTTATTAGTTGTAAAATAATGTGGAAATTGTAAATATTTAAATTTTATTATTTTAATATTTTTTAATGGCCACGTCACTCATTTAACGGTCAACTATAATAGTTGACTGCCACATCAGCAAAAACTAACGGAGAGTGACCAAATTTGAACTATTGAACTAATCTTAGTGACCATGAATGGAATTAAATATTTTCAGTGACCAAACATGAACGTTTTTAGTAAACCCAGTGACCAACCTTGCAATTAACCCGTTTTTATTAGCAAGAGTGGTCCTACACCCATTGGACAAATTAGTGGTTGGTAGAAGAAGGATGCTTTATTAGATGTGTTTGGTTGTGAATAACCTTTTTGTTAATGGATTTAGACTTGCATTTTTATTTCAATTCTAAATTTATTATGGGAGTTTGATAGCCCTTCTTTTCTAAGATTGATTGTGAATATATTACGGGAAGCAATTCCCATGTCATTCTTCACTGACTACATAAATAAATAGCTCTTCTTTTAAACCCTGCCTACATAGCAACAATATATATTATGAGGTCGATTGTTCAGTGACTCACTTCTACTGTCACTCCAGGAATTGGCCAAGTGAAATCACTTCCTAAAGCGTAGTATAGCGGGTTTGGGTTTAAATGTCAACCCGGGTCCTAGATTTGATGACTACTCGGTGAATTCTTGTTATCTAGCAATGAAACTTTAATGCAAGTCTAAACTATCAAACAAACAAAGCAAGTAAACGGTTGTTTTCAGGTTAAGAGAGGTCACCCGGATATGGTTCCCCCTAGACTGCAGTTAAGCCGGATTGTAATTACCAAGTTCAGTTTCTATGATAGTTGGCAGATCGAGAGGTGCCGGTGAGAGAGCCGCTGGCGGAGTACGAAGCGGAGATAGAGATGGCAGATCGAGAGGATTCTCCGGAGATGCAAGTCGCGCGGATGTCGCGACCTGCTCCAGTCGGGGTGACGACGGAGCTGAAGACACCGGCGGCGGAGTCGGGGAAGCTGGTGACGAAGTTGGAATCGCCAGAGCATGAATCGAAGGTGGTGTCGAGACCGAGAGAGGAAGGGCCGGAGAAGAAGGGTGACTCGCTGACCGAGAAAAAGCTGGTGGCGAGTCGATCGCCGGTCGATCCGCCGACGAGGAAAGGCTGGAAGTTGGGACGAACGAAGGGAGGCGGCTGCAGCGATCCTTCCCCTGCAACCCTAGGCCACATGACGCAAATGGATTCCAGGCCGCTGGGCCGAGTCATTTGGGCCATCTGTTCCAAAGATTCAACTAAGGTGGGTGTCGGTCAAGGGCAGGGCTTCGCTAAACTTCATCAGGTGAGTTGGGCCAAGAAAGAACTAGAAGCGGGGCAGCAAGGAGGAGGAAAGCTTGGAGCGAGCTGGACCAGTGTAAGCCGCCGAACGGGCCACAACTTCACCTCGAGCAGGCTGCAAATGAAATTAGATTGGGCCGAGGGTAGACGATAGTGGGCTGTGGGCCTGACACGCCAAAACACAACACCAATCTGCGACCAAGTGTAATCGCAGACCGGGAATGCAGTAACAGGAAAGTTATATTATCAACCCGGGGTCTAGATCTAATGCTTACTCAGTGATTCTCTGTTATCTAGCCAACTAAAGTAAGTGATTGTTGTTTAAAAGCAAAAGCAGAAAGAAAGCAGGAATTGATACGGTTTTCTCAAGCAGGTAAGAGTCACTCGGGAATGAGTCCCCCTAGCTCCTTAGTTAGGTTTCAATTGTATTTCCCTGGGTTGATTTACTGTTGATTAGACTGCGGAAGATCCGACAGTAGCTTGGAATCTCTTAAGCTGACCAAGCCCTCTCAGTCTATCTACCCGGCAGACGACTAGTCTTCACCGGGATAGAAAGCTGAAGCAGTAAGAACAGAACTTCACTACTGGAATTGGATTCCAGTACAAAGCAGTAAACTGACTAACTCTCGTATAGCCAATCTCCTACTATCGAATGATGAGACTCTAGCAACCTAATCAGATTCTATCTATCTCAGATTGCAGCAGGAATCAGGAAAAGTTGATCAGACTTCAATTGACTCAATAAACATGCATCATTCGATTAAAATCAAACAGTAATATCATCCCAAGTCATTACAATCAATCCCTAACACATAGAACTAGGGTTCTTCATCCCCAAGTGAGAGAGGGGTTCTACTCCATAGAGAGAGAGAGGAAAACAAGATACAAAGCGGTCATACTCATAATTATGGGAAGAATCTGCTCTGGGATGATAATTTCCACTCCTATGACGATCTCCAAGCTTGATTTGATGAAACCCAGCTCCAAGATGGCTTCTAGGATGTGTTCTTCGTCCTTTCTCTCTCTAGGGCTCTGTTTTTGCTCAAAAAGTCCGATTTTCTCTCTTGCAGCCCGAAATTGGGTTAAAACCAGGAATTCCCGACTCACACGGGCTGGGCCACACGGCCGTGTGGCATACCCAGTTGCCCGTGTGAGTCAAAACGCTGCGTTCCAATTAGTTCGATCTTCAGGCTTCCCACACGGCCAGGGTCGCACGGCCGTGTGGGATTTCTATCTGCCCGTGTTTGCTCTCGGCGAAACTCGCACGGCCAGGCCACTCCTTCACACGGCCGTGTGGATATCAGGGCAAGCCGTGTTTGCTCTCGCACAATCTCACACGGCCAAATAGGTCACTTGCACGGCCGTGTGAGTTGTGGGTGTGCCCGTGTGGCCTCCTTTTTGACTTGCCTCGCGCCTGATCTTCGTCCAATCGACCCCAAACTCGCTCCCGAGCCTCCATTCACGTACTAGGACCTGAAATATCACAAACAAGCACAACCTAGCGTGAAATCGGCCTAAAACACGAGAAATCACATCTCAAACGGTGTAAGAACAGGGGTAAAAACATGTGTAATTAACGGTCTATCAGGGCCGTATCAGCTGGAAGGAATAAAACGTAAGTTGGCCTGTGTTTTGAATAAAGCAGGCTTGGAGGAAGTTTTTAAGTTGGTGGATGGGCTCAAGGGATTTAAATGTGGGCTTTCAACAAAGGTTAATTCAAAGCAACTTGGAGGATAATGGAGCTCAAAAGAGTTGGTCTTCACCACTAAGTTCATAGAAGAATTTATGAGGCTTTCTCTTGAAGATTTCAAGCAGGTTCATGAGGAGGCGCTAAAAGAAGAACAGTTCTCAAATTCTCATTATGTGGATTTCGACAAGGTGGACGGAGACTTGTCTACCTATGGAGGACGTGACATGTGTCACGTAATTGGAGAAGAGTCAAGGGAAGTTGAAGTCGCGAGAGACGAGTTCACTCGTGGAATCGAGCCCAACTGGAAACGAAGAAAGCGGAAGGTCAAGAAGATGAAAGTTGACTGCAACCTTGAGGACAAGGTTGCTTTTAAGGGGGATGGATTGTTAGAAACCCACCTTATGTGGGATTCTCTTATTATTTATGGTAGGATAATTATTAAGAATATTAGTAACTTGGGGGTTAAGTTTAGGGTTAGTATCAGGTTTATTCCGCTATTTCCTATAAATATGTATTCGACCATTCATTTATGATTAAGCAAAGATTAATCAAAGAACTATCTCCCTAAACCCTAATCTCTTTCTCTCTCAATCTCGTCTATCTCTCTCTCTCTCTCTCTCTCTCTCTCTCAAAAGCTTAGGCCGTTCTTCCTCAAATCCCTAAATTCTTCATCTAAACCCCTAATTTCTATTCTCAATCCCTAAATCCCTTTCTATCTATCCAAATACGTTAATTCTTAGGAATCCGAATAAGCGGGTTTCTAACATGCTGTTAACTTGATCTTTGGGTCTGATGGTGACTGACATCCTTTAGCATTCAAATATCCTGTATCAGCAAGCAAATCCATACAGTATTTTCTTTGACAGACCATCTACCGCCAGGATTATATCATCCACATAAACAAGTAGGACAAAAATTCTTCCATGAACGCACTTAGTAAACATGGAATAATCTGAAGATGACTGATAAAACCCACTTTTCAACAGAAAACCAGTTAACTTGGCAAACCATTGCCTTGAGGCCTGTTTAAGACCATATAATGACTTTTTTAGCTTGCAAGCCATCCTCTTAGGACTTCTAGGTGGTAATTCAATTCCCTGAGGTACCTGCATATACACATCTTCATGTAGGTCCCCATTTAGAAAAGCATTGGATACATCCAATTGCTCTAGGGTCTAGTTCTTCACTACAGCTATGGCTAATAAGGCTTTTACTGAGTTGATTTTGGCCAGTGGGGAAAAAGTGTCCAGAAAATCTATCTCATATATGTGTAAAGCCTTTAGCCACCAGCCTTGCTTTGTACCTCTCAATTGTGCCATCTTGTTTCAGTTTGAGCTTGAATACCCACTTGCAACCAACTATGTGTTTGTCTGGTGGTGCTTCTACTATTTCCCAGGTCTGGTTTGCTTCTAGAGCATGTATCTCCTCTATCACAGCTCTATTCCATTCAATGGATTTGACTGCCTCATGATATGAGGTTGGTTCTTCATGCTTCAGCACACTCAAAGCATAAATTTTGTCCTATTCATTCAAACATTCAATATTTAGACAGATGGGGTGCTTACTTGCGCTTGCTGCTGTCCCAAATGCTCCAAATGTCAATTGAGGATCTAGTTCACAATCATTGAGCTTAGCAGGTAACACTGGATGCCTCTGTGATCTTCTTGGTGGTGGCTCAAAGTCAGCTTGTGGAAGTAGTTTGACACGCCAAAACACAACACCAATCTGCGACCAAGTGTAATCGCAGACCGGGAATGCAGTAACAGGAAAGTTATATTATCAACCCGGGGTCTAGATCTACTCTTACTCAGTGATTCTCTGTCATCTAGCCAACTAAAGTAAGTGATTGTTGTTTAAAAGCAAAAGCAGAAAGAAAGCAGGAAATTATTCGGTTTTCTTAAGCAGGAAAGAGTCACTCGGGAATGAATCCCCCAAGCTCCTTAGTTAGGTTTCAATTGCAATTTACCCTGGGTTGATTTACTATTGATTAGACTGCGGAAGATCCGGCAGTAGCTTGGAATCTCTTAAGCTGACCAAGCCCTCTCAGTCTAACTACCCGGCAGACGACTAGTCTTCACCGGGATAGAAAGCTGAAGCAGTAAGAACAGAACTCCACTACTGGAATTGGATTCCAGTACAAAGCAGTAAACTGACTAACTCTCGTATAGCCAATCTCCTACTACCGAATGATGAGACTCTAGCAACCTAATCAGATTCTATCTATCTCAGATTGCAGCAGGAATCAAAAGTTGATCAGACTTCAATTGACTCATTAAACATGCATCATTCGATTAAAATCAAACAGTAATATCATCCCAAGTCATTACAATCAATCCCTAACACATAGAACTAGGGTTCTTCATCCCCAAGTGAGATAGGGGTTCTACTCCATAGAGAGAGAGAGAGGAAAACAAGATACAAAGTATTCATACTCATAAAGATGAGGAAAATCTGCTCTGGGATGATGATTTCCACTCCTATGACGATCTCCAAGCTTGATTTGATGAAACCCAGCTCCAAGATGGCTTCTAGGATGTGTTCTTCGTCCTTTCTCTCTCTAGAACTCTGTTTTTGCTCAAAAAGTACGATTCTCTCTCTTGCAGCCCGGAATTGGGTTAAAACCAGGAAATCCCGACTCACACGGGCAGGGCCACACGGCCGTGTGGCATACCCAGTTGCCCGTGTGAGTCAAAACGCTGCGTTCCACTTAGTTCGATACTCAGGCTTCTCACACGGCCAGAGTGGCACGGCCGTGTTTGATTTCCATCTGCCCGTGTCTGCTCTCGGCAAAAGTCACACGGCCAGACCACTTCCTCACACGGCCGTGTGAATTGTCAGGGCAGGCCATGTTTGCTCTCGCACAATCTCACACGGCCAGAAATATGAGTTGCACGGCCGTGTGAGTTGTGGGTGTGCCCGTGCAGCTTCCTTAGCACCTCGCCACACGTCCGATTCTCGTACAATCAACCCCAAACTCGCTCCCAAGCCTCCATTCACGTACTAGGACCTGAAATATGACAAACAAGCACAACCTAGCGTGAAATCGGCCTATAACACGAGAATCAACACCTCAAACGGTGTAAGAACAGGGGTAAAAACATGTGTAATTAACGGTCTATCAAACTCCCCCACACTTAACCGTTTGCTTGTCCCCAAGCAAACCAAGTCAGACACAAGGTAAGCTCACATATTTCAATCAACCAACATTGGGGACAAGTCATAAAGGCACAGAACACGTGAATCGTACTGGTTTTCAAACATCAACACATGAGCAACTTCATTAGCAACCTGGACAACCACCACAAAGGACATTCGAGTGCAGCAAAATCGAGTAAAGGAAGAGTCTCCCTTCTGTTCACCAACCAATCTAGACTTGACTCAACCACTTACTCAAAACAGTCAACTCATGCATCCAACTCAAGACATCAGAATAGAGACCGAGCAATCTAGGTCCTCACCGGGGT